TACTTTTGTAAATAATAGCCTACTGTAAATGCTCAACATGCCAATAAAGCTTTGATTATGCTGACTGGAATTTTTGCTGGAATGCAGTTTAAATGTAACATATATTTCATTTTATTTCGGCTAATTAATAGACCATAATTATAAATAGGCCTACTATAGTGTTTCGTTGAGGAATTAATCATTCACGTAAGTTAGTTTCATTTGTAAATGAAAAATCAACACGCTCTTATCATCACACATGGGCATAAATACAATCATAAAGTCAAAACTGTATTGGCATAGCCTAATTGGCAGGCGTTTATTTGCAAAATATATGGTAGGCTAGCAAATGCTAGCATAATTATACAAAATGTTAACTAGGTAAAGCGATACACAAATTTAAAGGGGAAATAAGCATATGTAACAATAAATATAAAAATATAGCCCTAATAAGTTAATGTAATAATAATAATATACAAATATTAAATTAAATGTTTAATGTTAATAAAAATGTTTTGTCCATTTTTGATAATCCCGGGTTGCTATGGTAATGCGGGTCTGTTTATGCATTAAACTCGTGGCCACGAGAAAAATATGTTGTTCGCACGAGTTAATATCACGTTCCCTCAAATTAATATCTCTTGGCCACGACAAAACTCAGTGAACCGACCATGTCACCTCGCGGGCACCGTACATTTTCCCACAGAGTGCAACCATACACTTTTCCAACTGTCTTGGTCCTGGAATTTTCTCATTCATTTTATTGTAGTTTTAAGGAATGAATCACAACATTGCAAACTTTTTATTTGACGCTATGAAAATATGTGAAATTCATTAAAAGGAGACAGTGTCACTATATAGCTGACAAACCTCATAACTTCCTGGACTCATAATTTCACAGACAGACATGATCATATGCTGACCTCCATCTGCAGATGTATCCAGGCGAGGGACTGTGTGATGCGCGTGTAAACCCCAGGTTTGTTCTTTTCTGCACAGCCTTGCCCCCAGCTCGTGGCTCCCACCAATTTCCAGGTGAAGGAATCCTCACAAGCCAATGGACCACCACTGTCACCCTGTTACCAACATAGACAAAAAGGTTTTTTTTTTCCCTGTAGGTCCTTCAAGTATCGTAGCCTACTTTCTTTAAACTGTAGTGTTTCATGTTGACTTGCACAGTAATATTCCAAAGTTAATCAGTATTTGGTCAAATTCTAATAACCAATGGTTATTATAGACTTAAGGAATATATAAATTAAGTGTAATTTGATGTGCATGAAAATGTTTTATTCAGTGAAGTACAAATCCATGGTGAGATGATATACCTGGCAGGAGTCTGTTCCCCCCTCCAAGTACCCGGCGCAGATCATGCCTGGTGATATATAACCTTGGTAAACCTCCGGCTGACTGCAAGCTTTTGTAGAGATCAGTGGGACTCTTGCTGAATGCAGCGAAACACTCCCTTCACCTAATAGAACACAACATTTTACAAACTGAGAAGAACGAATGTGTTGTTCTTTTTTTTTTTTTGCTGGCTATATATATTACTCTTAAGTAGCAGCGGCACAAGAACTACAACAAAATCTTTCATCAGGGGACTGTAGTTTTATTGTTTTGCACCAAACAGAACTGCAGTCTGTTCATCTGAATGGTGATGACTGAGCTAAACATAACCACACTGGTTGGTTTTGGCCTGGAATTCCTGTTTACCCCAAGTGTGCCCGTGTTTGGCTGGTTATCTTGGCCCATATAGATGCTGCGGTTACAGCATTCTGGGGACAAAAACATATGGTAACACTTTACTTAAAGCCTTTATGTATAATGAATTATAAAAGTAGTTTTAATGCATTAATTATGCCTTGTAATCGTAATGCACCTTATAATGCATTGTACAGTCTCATGAATAATTGTAACCACAGTTAATACATTATAACACATCAATTCATTGTTACACTATGCATTTTAAATGAGGTTTTAATTATTTATGACAAAATATAATGTATTACAATGTACATTATGAATGATTATATTGCATTATACCCTTTAATAACCGTTAAGGCTTTAAGTAAAGTGTTACCAAACAGATTTCTCCACTGAAATACATACAAAAGTATCTGTGTATTCTCACAAAATAATTTTTTATAACATGCAGAAAGATTTTGATGAAAGATGCAGACAAAATGCAATATTTGTTTCTGAGTTGTGAATATGTCAGTGAGAAAAAAAAAGCAGCATCTATATTGAAGTTAAGAAATCTTATATTTTAAGTAAGAAATCATCATTTACAATTAAATTAACTAAGTTGCATGTACAGAATATAAAAGTATTGTCAGGGCTGTCACAAACGTGGATTTTTGTAGAAAAGGTACATTGCCATCTTGCTCTGACCAAAGTGATTTATTTGCAGCTGACATCAGAATTACAATTTCACAACTCCCAAATAAAAACTATCCACCCAGGAGGACTTGAATGTACCATTTGCCCTCATTGGTTTGAGTGACCTGACCGGGTCAAGTTATTACTTATTATTGACGTAACCAATAGTTTTCTTCATCTTGTTCTAGTTCTGCAGTGTATTTCACATTGTCGGCACCCAACTGAGCATGTTGAATTGTTGAATCATTGGACACTTGGTGAGAAAGATCACTTGGATTGGCCCTTCAGCTTATGTCGGGTATAAACTACACGATTTTAGGCCCGATTTTCACTCACCGACAATTTTCTCGAGATTGCTGACAAAACCCCGATGCAATCTGATGC